GCCAAAAAAATGTTAAAATTTAATAAAAACATGTCCAGTTTAGTACTCTTACCCTTTTTAGAATTATCCGGGGTCCTGGATGAATACTATATAACGGGACTAAAAAAAGCAAGAATCATTTTATTTTATTTTTTTAATGTAAACTTTTAAAGATCAAGGTCTGACATTCAAACTTCCCTCTATATCAACATTGTTTATATTCACGCATCTATGCGTGTTTTGGAACCTACATGCGTGCATGTCTGTTTAATCACATATACGCTAATCGGTCATATACATATGTACGTACGTACATCCCAATTCGGATGTATAAATTATTTCACACATGATAGCGATAGCCCTAGGGTTGTTAATGGGGCAACCCGGGTTATACTCCAGTTTAAGGTTGGAGTGGGTTGGGATTTTAAGAATTTTAACCCGGAGCAAAGTTATTTCTTATAACCCGGGTTGCTCCATAAGGAGTGACCTGGAGCAAAACCCAGGTTGCTCCATATGGAATGACCTGGAGTAAAACCTGGGTTGCCCCATATGGAGTGACCTGGAGTAAAACCTGGGTTGCTCCATATGGAGTGACTTGGAGCAAAACCTTGACTGCTCCATATGGAGTGGCTTGGAGCAGCATAGTGGTCTTTAAATCCAATTGGTTAATTACTGAAATGTATCGTCACATATAGACCGCATATATTATCTGACTTTAAACGAATTGTCCAGGGGACTGAATATATATTCAGAAACTACACCTTTCGCTCTATATACTATCAAAATAATCACGAAAATGGAGGGATAATCAAGAGAGTTAGCTATAGAGCGTTTTTATAGGTCTATTAACTAGCCACTCGGAATGAAGCCGCCTAAGCTTATATGGAGTAATCTGGGAGCAAAACCCGGGGGGCTCCATAAGGAGTGGTCTGAAGGAAAATTATTCTTATAAACCGGCGGAGCATTAACCTGGAGTGCAACCTGGAGTGTTAATTTATATATAAACCGGGTTGGATCTGCTCCATCTAATTTAACCCAAACCACTCCACTCCACTCCATTAACAACCCTAGATAGCCCTCTAACTGTCTTTAACAAAAGTCCACAGTCATGTGATTAGTATGAGTAATCCGCCAATTAGAAACTTCCAGAATTACCAGCAATTTTTAGATCGTTTAATTGTATATTTGTATGCTTTTTTTTGAAACTAAAAGTAATCCACATTGTTTTAATCATAAATAAGTATGAATATTACTAACTATAACCAGTCACCGGTTGCTATATCTCAAAAAATCTACTAGCTAATCATGTCGGGGATACTAAGCAAAAAATGTTCAGAACCTAACCCTAAATAAAATTTGAATTGATATATATAACCCTTCCATATATCCTAAACTGCACCCTAACCCTAAAAATAGCGGTGACGGTTATTTGTAGTAAAAATCAATAAGTATATATAATACTTAATTCTAAATTATTGATGTAACTTAAGGAAAAATTGACAAAAATCCAAAGATCATTGCTGTATAGAGGTGGTTAATAGAACCAAGCAAATTATTAGATAAATTTGCTTGGTTTCTATTAACCACCTCATATACAGAATTAAATTGTTGCAATAGATTGTATGTATAAAGTTATTTTTAAGTAAACTGATAAATTATATATACTTAAAATTTTTATATAATTTTGATATTAAATTTTTTTGCAATATTTTTAATTTTGTAAAGAATAGTTAAAATATTTAAATCAATGGATAGGTTTTAGGTTTTTGTACTACCAATAGTATATTTAATAAAGGCTCTAAAAAATCTAAAAAATTGTTTTTAAAAAACTTTTTTTATCAAAAAATCTGATAAATGGTATAGTATTACAGAAATTAATTTATTTTAATATTATTAATAAGATTGTTGAGAAATAATTTTTTTAAAAAGAATTTTGGCAAATTTATCGTACAATCTGCAGTATACTATTAAAAATAACGGTTCTATTTTTTATTGCACCCTACTATATCTTAAAATTTTACTAGAGTAACCTGTTGTGTAACTAACAAAAAATGATCCTCTTACAATTTTACCTAACCCTAACTCTAACACTAACACTAACACTAATCCTAACTCTAACTCTAACTCTAACTTTAATCCTAACTCTAATCATTATAGAGGTGTAATGTATTGCACTATGCAATAAATTATAAAATCCTAAAAATAATTATACTAATAAATTTATTAATGAATTTTACAAACTAAAATTTTAATTATATAAAAAATATTTAAAATTTGTTATATTTAAATTTTTATTATAAGTTTTATTATAAAACTATTATATTTACTATAAAGGTTTGTAAGCTATTAGTTAAAAATTTTTTTCAATATATATTAGATAAGCTATTTAAGAATTAGCTGATATATTTAAATATAGTCTATTTTGCTATAATATCTATAACTATATTAGGCAAATACTAATTAGTCTGTGTATAATGCAAAGTTATAAATATTATTTATAGCAAGAAACTGAAGATATTTATATTTAATATTAGTGAAATATATTTGGTTAATAAAGGTATTAAAATTTTTAAATATAATAAAAAAAATATTGTTAGCAGTTGTTTATTGAATTTATTAAATAATTATGTTTTAGGCTTTTAGTCTAAAAGCAAAATCATTATATAGAAGATAAACAGATATAATTTAAAACTTAAAATCATATGAAATATAAAAGCAATACTAGCTTTTAAGCTATTAGTATATAATTAAAAATATATTATTAGGTTTTAAATAGTTTAATAGTAATTATAGTTTTATTATATAGTTTTGTTTTTATAATATAAATAATATTAAAGTTGTAAAATAAGTAGTAGTTTTCAAGTTTTTTTTTTAATAGCTATATTAAAATCTTAAATATTGTATATGTTAATAGTAAGGTTGAAAGATTAAAAGTAGACAAAATGTAATTTAAAAGCTATATTAAACTAGTTTGTATTTATTAGAGTAAAGCTGTCTAATAGCTAAGTAGTATTAATATTTGTAGATAGAAAAACAAATAAAATTTATAGTTATTAGATTAATAGTATTAGTTAGTAGATTGTTAGTTGATAGATCAGATTTTAAATTTTTTTTTTGTCAATACACAGGTCAAAAAAAGATAAATTAGTATAATTACTGATTGTAAAAAATTTTTTAAATTGATACAAATAGGCATACTGATTGCAATCCAATTATATACTGGTTGGATACTATTTGTCAATCTGTTTACTTGCCGATTTTGGACAGATTTTGGCAGAAATCAGCATAAAATCAGCATAAATCAGTATAAAATAGTATACCATGATTGGTTTCGATTTGACAATTATAAGATTTTGGGTCAAAATCCCGAACAACAGATTATCGAAAGAATATAACACCGACTAAATTGGCCAGCATTATGGCTAGTGCTGGCTAACTTTGTCAGTATTACGTTTTTTCGGGAATCCGTTTTTCGGGATTTTGACCCAAATTCCAATCATAATACTATTAATTCCGATTTGACAATCCTAATATTAGCTTAATAAACTAGCTAAAATAG